GAAAAATACAAACAATTTCAAATATTTCAAATTAAAATAGTGAAATGATTAGTTTTAATTTATATTACCAACCATTTCATATAATACAAAATATGAAGCAGTGATTAATTCGTTCTTTTTTCTCTAAAATTTTCAAAAAAATAAAAATTTTTGCCTGAAATAAAGAAATATATAATAGTAAATGATTATCAATAGTTATAATAATAATGATGATAATAATAATAACAATAATAATAATAAAAAAATAATAATGGCACAAACTGACCACGATAATTATGATAATAATAATAATAATGATAATAGCAATAATAATAATAGGAGCATTTCACGCATTATTAAAAATTTTGGAATTTAATAGAAACTAAGGCTGAACTAAGAGAAATAAAAAAGGAAAAAATCGTTGAGTTATTATTTTTAAACTTAAATAACTGAATCAAATAAAAAGGAATTCCAATAATGAATAAAAAAATTGACAACAGTATTTATTGCAATCAAAAATTATTGAAATATTTGACTGTAGAACTTGAAAAATGATTATAATTCAAAGTTTATAGTAGTAATAAAATGATAATGGAAAATTCTTACTGATAACAATGTTAATTGTTGTGAGATAATGTTTGATAAAGTTTAATAATGAATTACATTATACAATATTGCTCAGGTGTAATTGTAATCGTTATTCACAATCAATGGGAAAATGAATATTTCGAAAATTGAAAAAAAGAAAAACAGAAAAAATGTTTAAAATTTGTCAGATATTGTCAACAAAAATTGAATGCCATTTCAAAAAAAATGATGAAATCTCAATTTAGATTCATTTCACAGATTTTAAAATTGAAAAGTTTCGCAGTTTCTAGCATTTTAATTGTTAAAATATATGTCATATTTTTTTAAAAATTTAATAACCAAATTGAATAAACGTTCATAAAAGCTATAACAATCAAAATATAATTATCAGTAAAGAAGAAAAAAAAATGTTTATAACAAGTATTTACAAATTTAAACTTATAATTTGACCTTTTCTTCCTGCCAATTTTCTTCAATCTATGAGATGGACTAAAATGACATATGACGAAAATGCTTTTGGAAAATACAGTTTTCTCTTCATCAAATTTATGGATAGACAAGTCGTAATTAAAGGTGATTAAAAAAGAAACCTAAAATTTCAACGGATGACCAAACGATTTCTTCAATCAACTTAATGACCGCAATTAAGAATGAAATTAGGTCAGATTAAAGAAATTGGTACGAATCCATTGCGATTTCAGATTAAATAAGTTGATGAGTAATGAAATAGTAATTTCGTGATAAATAAAGCAAACAAAATAACATTAACATTGTGTTCAAAATATTTTTAAAATTACAATACTTTAACTTGAATTTATTAATTACTATACGCAGAATTAATTTAAAATAATTTTATGTAAAAGATTAATAATTAAAGTCATATTTTAGAACTATCTATTTGATTATTTGACTTTGATTTTTTTTCGCAATTAATACATTTGAGTGTTAATTAATAGTTTTTTTCAAAATCCGATTAGACTTTTGCATAATTAGTTTCGTATGATTTCTATTATCCTTTAATTTAGATTTGGAAGAAATTACGACAACCGAACCATCAATTATACTAAATCACACGACAATTGCGCCACTGCTTAGGTTATTTACCTTACCATTACTTACATTGCCACCACCGCCAAATATTGATACTTATGGTTAGTTTTCTTTTTTTTACAGCTAAAATTTTGAATTTCGTATAAAATTAAGAGACTAAAGCAAAAAAGTATTTGCTATTTTACGTTCAAATTTATTTTATGAAAAAATTTAAATATTATATATATTGAAATAAATTGTATTCGATTTTTTCCGCTGAAATTATTAAATTAAAATAAAGGCAAAATTAAAACGAAAATTTTGATTAAAATTAAGATCTAGGATGATAAAATGTTAAAATAGAAGCACAAAAAGAGGCATGTCATCAAACTAAAATCTATAAATTTTTTGGAAATCTAAAATTTAAGAACCTTTTTTCTCGAAAATAAAAATATAAATGCATAATTTTAAAAGGTATCAATACAGTACCAGAATTACCACCACAACATGAATCCACCTATAAAGGAATGTTTGCACCAGATGGTAGTTTAATTAAGAAGAATACAACAAATGAAAATAAGAATACAAAACAAATTGAAATAAATCAGGTATCATTTGAATTAAATAATAAATCAATTAGTTTAAGAATAAATTATCTGTCTTTTTTTCCCAAAAGTATGCAATTTATAGTAGCATATGATTTATTTTTATAGATTTTTTATCAAAATCAATTAAGAAGAAAGGATGAAAAGTTACGTGATATACGAAAAGCAGGTATACGTGCCGCTGATGGTCCGATCACTTATGATGATTATGATTTTTATTCTGTAAGGTTTAATTTTTAATTTTTAATTAATTCTTTTTTCGAATTTTACTTTAGACAATTTTTTTAATTTTGTTTAATTTTTCTCATTTATTATTCCAATAATTATCGCCAATGTTAGGCCCATGTGTATATGAAGAAAAAAAATTAGAAATATAATATATATATATATATATGCTAATATTGCTCGTATTTATTTACTGTTAGTGATAATTGCAATCTTAACAACTGTTATTAATCACTACCGTATACATTTTGTATACGTCAACATTTTCCACCATATACTTACTGATAATGATGTGTGCGTGAGTTGTAACTATAGTTTTTATTAGTATAAATATTTTTTAATCTATCAAATATATATTTATATAATGTTTATATAAAACGTTGCTAATGATTATCATTCGTATCATCTAATTAATAACAAATACATCAATGAATGATAAGATATATGCAACGGCAACAACTTTTTATCATTCTTGATATGTAATTAACAATAAACGCATTAATGAATGATAACAAATATACAGTAGCACTAGAAATAGCTATGCTTATCATTATTATCATAGAGTAACTTCATTATATATGATAATGAATCGTATGCAAAAAAAAGAAAAAAAAAATCGTGCAACACTTGCATTACAAACACGATAATAATCCATGTTAAAGTAATAGCAAAATAAATATTAAATAATTAATAGATTGGCGCAAGTGGTAAAATGATTGATAAATTGGCGCAAATGGTATATTATATTAGGTGTAAAATGAATTTTTGCCATAAAATAATGCACGCTGTTTTTTTTTGCTTTTGCTCTAAAATTTTAATTAATGCTTATCATTAATTGTAGTAATGCCATTAATTAGGTTACCAAATTTCAGGATAAAAAATATATGAGTAATCATGAAGAAAGTATGATTGTGGCTAATTTATTGCGTAAAAATATCCCTTATAGTAAAAACAGTGTAAAAATGCTATCAGCTAAACCTATCAATGGTGATAAGGTATGATAATAAGTTTATTCCCAAGCTTAAGCTCTTTTTTTAAAAAAAATTATTTCCAATAATTTTAAAAATTTTAACAAATTTCTTTTCA